TCTCAGCAACAAAGCTGATTGCGCACGAACCAAGTTGGGATTCTTCATAGTCCATGAGGATCTACATTTTAAAAATAGTCCCACTCAAAAAGATTTTTAGCACCTCAGGCGGTTCCCTCGTTAGACTTGTCTAAATTACGAATTTTATTTAGGTTGTTGTTGGTGATAAAGTTGTATTAATGCCCTATAGTGGAGGTCAACCATTACACGTTAGCGAATTAGAACTACCTGATCATCCCGGCTCAAAAGAGGTACGTTTCATGTTAACTCCCTTTCACGTTCCCTCATCCTTTTCTACTTTTTTATCAATTATTGTTTTTATCATTTATTGGGGAAAAAAAAAATGAGAAGTTTATTAGACGTAGCTATACCTTTCAATCTGTCCAATCAGACTGCATGGTGATAGAACATCATACAGAGCATTTGCTGTTGTGTATCTGTGGAAAAGAAACCACGGTATACATGAACATTCACATTGCACAGTATAAAATTTTTTGTGTACAATTGACTTTTAGTGCTGCAGTGTTATTAACCTTCACATGGTACAGCAGACATCAGTGATCTTTTTTTTCTTTTGCATGCTGTGATTTTCTACCACACCCTAAATTAACCATTGTGTTTTCTTGCAGTGATAAAAAGAAAAAGAACGAGAAGAAGATAATTGAGCGATGTTCTGTTTTTATTTTGGACGCATGAAAATAGATGTTGTTATTTTATCAATTAGAATATCTCAGTATAATGTTAAGTGGTTGAATTTTAGAGCAATTTCTACATTTTCATATCGGAATAGAATTCAATGAAAGTAGAAACATATAGTTTCATTTCATCAGATATTTCTGTATTTAATAGCTTTTAAAGTTATTACTGTTCGTCAAATATTTCATTCTAATTACGACGTCCTTTATCGACTAATACAACTCTTTTTGATATAAGGATTGTAGACTAGAAGCAGAATACTATGGTACACTAACAAAACTCTTTCTTTTTTTTTACGTTCGTTCTAATTTTAGATCAATTGTTATTCGTACTCTATAGTATGTGTAAAATAAGTATAACTCATTACTGACGCCAATATACTTACTAGATATAATCGTTCTTTCTCTGTCAATTGTCTAACCTGCATTTTATAATAGTGTCTTTATGTCCATAGTCGCACATGCCTCTGTCTTTAATTCAGTGTCTATACACATATGCGAAATTTTAATAAAAATATTTCGGGAAATTTGTTTTTTTTTGTTCAATAAAACAATATGCTATTTTATATATATATTTATAACATTTTGGTATTATTGTTTTTTGTTGAGATGCTTTTTTCGTTTTTTTCTATGTGCATATTTTTAAAGCTTTCTATGTACCCTCCCAAGCAAAAACGACCCAATTTTTTGGGTTATTTATCTAGATTCAGGTCCACGTACATCTAGATGCACGTGGAGCTGAATCTAGATAAATAATCCAAAAAATTGGGTCGTTTTTGCTTGGGCTAGTTGTCTAATACTTAGGGCAATCCAAAAGTAGTGTCGTCACTATCTTATTTCCTTATAGTAAGCTCAAAGAAATTTTCTTTTTTTATACAGTGATAGAGAAAAGAATGCTCTATTTTTCTATCCTATTTGATCATACTTCAACTAATATTATAATAATAAAATTTCAATAAGATCTGTTTTGTCTGCATGTGTCCTGGTGGTATAAACGCGAGAGGAGTATTTTTTGAATAACTTTTGATAGAAACAAGAGAGAGAGCTACGCTTTTCACCGCTGAAAAAAGGGGATGGTGACGCATCGAATCGTGCATTACAGATTTTTCTAATATTGATTTCTAAAAACATTTTTATTCAATTTTCTAACTGTCGAAAAAATGTTTTTTTTATGATAAAAGGAAAAAGAACAAAAGTGAACTTT